CCCACCAAGCCCATTGGGCCCACTAAGCTTTGAAGCAGTAAAATCTTCAAGTAAACCTCCTGGCCATTGCTCTAGTGGTTGGGCCTTTAGCCCATGCTCTTCCATCATGTTTAAAACATGATTTTATGTAAGATCTAGTTAATTAGCGATCTTTTTCAAGATTTTAATAAAATTACATATTATTTAGTTTATCTCTAATGTAAATTTATATAAATATATATATATATATATATATAAATATATATATATATATATATAAATTATTACATAAAAAATCATTTCTCTTTAAAATAAAATGATTTGGTCATAAATATATGAAGGAAAAAAGTGGGTCTTTGGAATGCCGTTTAGATCAACAAATTAAACATCATAGTATATCTAGTAATCATTCCCATGGAGTATTGGTATTATTGCTCGCTAATTAACAAATGCCATCATGTTTCCATGCCAATAATGGCTTCGTAACACCCGAAACAACCGCTAAAACTAGCGGAACACAACTTCCCTCTCTCATCCCTCCCATTTATATACCATCCTCTTCCCTCTCCTCTCTTACTTTTCCTCTCCTCCGCCGCGTCCCCGCGCGGCCACCACCCCCTCCTTCTCCTTCTTCCAATATCCAAAACACACACAACACAAAAACACAAAAAAAAAGAAGTAAAAAACATAAAATAAAATAAAAAAATGAAAACCACCTTCAAGCACACACCCTCCTCCTCCTCCTCCTCCTCGTCGTCGTACCCAACAACAATAATAACAGCAGTGGTGTTGTTTCTGAGTTTGGGGGCATGCCTGGCGCAGCAAGAGCTGGGGGCGAAAAAGGCGGCGGAGCAGGTGACGGAGCTGGACACGTGCGACGGCGTGTTTCTGACGTACGCGCTGATAGGGCGCGAGAAGGAGTACCCGCACGTGACGAACACGTTAAAGCAGGCTTGGGCATTCAAGGCGGAAGCGACGGTGACCAACGTAGGGGACGAGGAGGTGCAGGGGTGGAAGATGTTCATCGGCTTCCAGCACCGCGAGATTCTCGTCTCCGCCGACGGCGCCGTCCTCGTCGACGCCGGCGACTTCCCCGCCGAGGTGGGAAATGGGACCACGCTCTCCGGAACCGCCATGACGGACCTGAAGACCGCCATTGACACCGCCGGGGATCTTGATCAGATGAGGGCCAGGGTTGAGATAGTTGGAACGCAGTTTGGGCTCGGCGCTGGGGCCACTCCTATGCCCAAAACTATTCACCTTGTTAACGATGGATTCAAATGCCCTGCACCTAGTCGTCGAGGTATCATCATATATTTTATGCTTATGCCATCTCTTTCTCTTTTCTCACGTCGTTACGTTGATTTCATGCAAACTCAGTAATAAGGGAATGTGTAGTTTCAAAAGTTCTGAATTGTGGGGTGTTCAGATGACTTTACTTCTTAAAATTTGAATCAAATTGATTGATACTTTTAATTTTAATGATTGGTTTAATATATTATTTCATACAATGCTTTTTATGCATTATTTTTTTTTATAGCGTTAAAATGGAGCGACGAAATATACTGAAATTTGCATGCTTTTCTTATTTTTCATGTTGTTTTACTATGTCCTTTATATGTATACTTCTTAAAACATGTGATAAATTGCTAACTCACGGGGTGAGGAGGAAGATAGACTCCTTTAAAGAGGTAGAAAAAAGAGGGCGTAAAAAGAATTGTGTGAAATAATTAGTTTTTTTTTTCTTCTTTCTTTTGATTTATGTAAAACATTAGCTCGTAATAAGGTGTTGATTTACGAGATAGATTCAATTTTAAAAAATGGATGAATTAGACTAATGGTGTTAGTTATGTGAATCAAACAACGTATACTTGACATAAGGGATTATGGACCATTCATATCAACAAATGAGTAGAAGGAAAATACAAAATGAAAAAGTGGAACGAAAGGCTAATTGTCATATGTGCATGATATATTGAGCACACTTGGAATAGTACTGTTAAATTTATTCAAATGAAATGAACTATATATGCATGATAATTATACATTTGCTAGTCTTTCATAATCGCCCAAGAGGACATGAACAAATAATTTCTGTGTCTACAAATTGAAAACAATGCAACAGTTGCACCGGAATAACATATGGATTATAATCATTACTTTTAACACGATATGAATGGATACACGGATAATGGATTGTTTTTTACATGCGTGTGAATTAATGGTGCAGCCACGAGAATGTTCGTATGTTGCAGAAAGGACCCAAAAGTGAAGGCGAAGCTCGCAAAGAAAACCAAGTACCCTCCACGTCGCTACGGAGACCTAACCATAGCTTACGACGTGCTCCAAGCGAATCAGAACAACTACTACGTGCAGGTGACAATCGACAACAACCACCCACTGGGTCGTCTCGATCACTGGAACCTCACATGGGAGTGGCAAAAGGGAGAGTTCATATACAGCATGAAAGGAGCCTTCGCTCGCATAAAGGACCCTTCCGAGTGCTTGTACGGCACCGCAGGAAAATTCTACAAAGACATGGATTTCTCACAGGTCGCAAACTGTGCCAACAAGCCAATCCTCTCAGACCTTCCTTCAGAACGAGCACAAGACGACAAAGTTGGGAAGCTCCCATGGTGCTGCAAGAACGGCACCGTTTTGCCCCCACTCATGGACAAGAACAAAGCTAGGTCAATTTTCCAGATGCAAGTGTTCAAGATGCCACCAGACACCGACAACAGGACAACGATAACTCCTCCAATAAAGTGGAACATTGATGGCGTCATAAACCCTAAGTACAAATGCGGTGCCCCAGTTAGGGTTGACCCTCAGATCTTCCCTGACCCGAGTGGACTCATGGCGATTTCAACGGCTGTTGCCAGCTGGCAGATATCATGCAACATCACCAAACCGAAGCCTCAGGAAACTCGTTGTTGTGTCTCGTTTTCAGCGTTCTACAACGAGTCTGCGATCCCATGCAACACGTGTGCATGTGGCTGCGACGATACGAGGAAGTGCAACTCTAGGGCATCCCCGTTGCTTCTCCCGCCAGAGGCTCTTCTTGTTCCGTTCGAGAATAGGACCCTGATGGCACGTGCGTGGGCCAAGTTGAAGCACTTGCACGTGCCGAGCAGGATGCCGTGTGGGGAAAACTGCCCCGTCAGCATCAACTGGCACGTGAGTTCGGATCACAAGAACGGGTGGACGGCCAGGATCACGCTCTTCAACTGGGAGGAGTATGCGTTTGATGATTGGTTCACTGCGGTTCAGATGAAGAGGACTTTCGAGGATTTTGAGGATGTGTATTCCTTCAACGGGACCAGAATTCCTGGTCTCAAGACCATTTTCTTTGAAGGGTTGAAGGGTTTGAATTATTTGGCTGGAGAGACCAATGGAACGCATACTAGGGACCCTAGAGTGCCAGGGAAACAACAATCTGTTCTTACCTTCAAAAAGAAGCACGTAAAGGACTTTGATGTGACACGTGATGCGTTCCCCTCTAAGGTTTTCTTCAATGGAATGGAGTGTTCGCTTCCTCCGGTTAGACCTGCCAAAGCTTCGGGCCATAAATCTTCCATCAGTGTCATTGCAATTATTTTCACTGCGTTCATGACTTTCTTCATGATGTGAGGACACAACAGAGAATGAAGCGCTTGGTTTTGGCACGGATCTGCTTTAAGAGGCTTTGGTTTTCTTCTCGTCGGGGCTGCTTTTTTTTAATATATATCACTCTCATCAACGACGGGGTGCTTATGCAAATTGGGCAGGTAGCTAACGATGCATGATGTTGTGATGATGAGAGCATGTGATGAGGGATGGAGCCTTTTGTGTAAAAGTAACTGTGTATGATACAAGATTGTGTGTGGAACTTATACGAGTTCAGTACGTACGTATCTAGCTCATTTTACAATTAGATGCCATTTTTTGTTTCACCAACGTTAATTTAGTGTATGGATTATTTATTAGTTCATGTAGATACGTTTCAAACCAAGTGTCTACCTTTTCTGATTGGTTAGCTCATTTCTAGCTTTAATCCAAATCTTCTCGCAGATTTGATCATGGGTTGCTTATCTTAGTTTAATTTATTATTTCTTTGGTTTAAATAGATTGAAAACAGAGTAATCAAATTAGTAAAGAAGACAATAGGACGCAGCGAATTTTGAGTAATACACTACATTAGCTCCTAAAATTACTTTTAATTTAGTTTTCCAAATTTTAAAATTTTTACTTTAATCTCTAATTTTAATTAAAAGGTAGTTATTTTACGACTATAAATTATAAAAACAAAGCCGGTAAGACTTAATTAACGAAATTTTAGTGATTTTTTTTTATGATTTTAGAGATTGCTCGTAATTTTAGAATATATTTGAATATATTAGTCTATAAATGAGTTCCAACGTAAAAAAAATAAAGATATAATTATTTTCTAATAAAATTCAAAATCTATCTTGTCAATAAAAGCAAGGCAAATACAATTGTCGGTAAAAGCAACGTTATGGCCTAAAGATCTAAACCCTTAAGATAGATAAGGCTAAAAATAACTTTTATAAAGCTACACAACATATATAATATATAAACAATTATTTTAACACTCCCTAGAGTTGAAGCATATAAGTTGCGTATGCATCAAACTTGGAACATATAAACTGAATCCTAGGTCTTCTTAAAGACTTAGAATGTCTGCAAGCTGGTAAACTCAATAATAAGTTCCTTTGACAACAGTTTTTCTCAGATGAAATAATAATCAATCTCTATGTGTTTTGTTCTCTCATGAAATGTTGGATTGGAGGTAATATGAAGGGTTACTTGACTATCACAGTACAACTTCATCTGCTTAACTTCACAAAATATTAACTCTTGAAAGAGATGTTTAATCCACACAATTTTAAAAGTAGCCAAAGTCATAAATCTATATTCAACTTCTGCATTGGATTGGGCAATAACACTTTGTTTCTTGCTCTTCCAAGAATGATATTTCCTCCAATAAATACACAATGTCCAATGGTGGATCTGTTGTCTAAGGGACAACTAGCCTAATTTTCATCACAAGACCCTGAGACTTGAGTATTTCCCTTTTCCTCATACAACATCCCTTATCCTGCTGGATCATTTTTAATATATTTGAGGATGCGAATCACAACATTCTAATGGTCGGATTCTGCATGAATTGACTAACAACTCCAACTAAAAATGAAATATCAAATCTTGTAATAGTGAGATAAATGAGTTTTTCTATCAGCCTCCTATATCTTTTTGGATCTAAAAATATTTCACCTTGGTCTATCATTAACTTCTGATTTGGGTCCATAGGACTATCAATTAGCCTGTAGTTTTCCAAACTTGTCTCCTTTAAAATATCAAGAGGATATTTTCTTTGTGAAATTACAACTCCTTCCTTTGATTGAGCCACTTTGATACCAAGGAAATATTTAAGAAAACCAAGATCTTTGGTCTGAAAATGCTTGAATAAGTTTTATTTTAGGTGAGAAATCCTAGTAGCATCATTGTTAAGTCTCAATTACACTTCTTTTTGGACAAGACTTGTTGAACAATTCCACTCATTCTTTGAACCATTGCAATATAATTGTTCTCTTTTTGATTCATTTTGTGTGAAGATATAGCTAACCTATAATTTAGCTAACAATACACTAATACACCTCATTTTTGTGCAGGTATTGAACTAGAGAATTGAGGATTGAAGACCCATAGGATTGGAAACCTAAGGAGCTAAGGAGCAGAGAAGAGTGACTGCGTCGGACGCAAGATGACCCGCGTCGGGCTTGAGCAGAACAGAGTGCCTTATCTCTGCAAGTTATATATGCGTCGGGCGCAAGACTACCCGTGCCGGACGTGATCGAGGCAGAGAGTGACTCAAACTCTCTGGAAGACATTACGCCAAACATAAAAGGAAATTGCGCCGGGCGTGTCCTGAGGTAGATAGTGTTCAACTTCTCTAGAAAGGCCCTGCGCCGGGCGCAAAGACTTATGCGCTGGGCGCGTAACCCTAATCTGACTCCCCAAGCTCGTATTTGAAGACATTTTTCGAGGTTCAATATGTCTCAAAACTAGTCACTCATAATTAAATCAAAAGTAGATTTGGGATACTATAATATTTACTCTCGATCGTAGTAAGAATTAAACATACGCATTTACGGTTGAAATTTGGGATACTATACTATTTACTCTCGATCGTAGTAAGAATTAAACATACGCATTTACGGTTTCACATTTCAATCAATCTCTATACACAATCTTTAAGACTGAAACAAAGAAAGACAAAGTATTAGCCCATACAATGGTCCATTAACCTAGAAGAGTCTTGTGACCCTCGATCCTATTAATTCCTATCTATTAGTCTTACTTGAGAAAGAGAAAAAAGAAAAAAAAAAAAAAAAAGTTTCACAACATGTGTGAATAATGAGTAATCTTATTTTTCGAACCATACAGATGATGTTGCAAACTTGCAATGCAGTTTACATAGAATATTACTCCCCATGAGAAACGCGGGGTAATATATTATAAATGCATGAAAACGTTACGTGGAAGCAGCGTGAGAAAGAATGAAGCAAATGCAGACACCCAAACAGCGCACACACCCACTTCCCTTACACGTACACCTCATTACATGCAACCAAACACAATAAAAATGAGAGTGCACTCTCTACTCTCTCTTCACTCTTCACTCTTCACTCTCCACTCTTCACCAAAATGACGAAGCTCACCGTTCTCATTGTTTTCGCCGTTCTCTTCGTCGCCCACACTTGCTCCGCCGCCTCCAAGCAGCAGGAGCAAGAGAGCTGCAGCGAGCAGCTGGAGAGCGTGAACCTCAGGCCATGCGCGAAGCACGTGATGGAGAAGATCCAACGCGACGACGACGACGACGACGACGACGTTCTGGCGATGCGAGGGAGAGTGAACTACATAAGGAAGGGGAAGCGGCAGGTACTGGAGAAGTGCTGCGAGGAAATGAGCGAGTTGCAGAGCGCCAAGTGCCAGTGCCGAGCGTTGCAGAAGATCATGGAGGAGCAGAGCCAGAATCTGGACAAGACTCAGGAGGAGGAGATGGAGAAGGAGCTCATGTACTTGGCCATGAGGTGCGGCTTTGGACCCATGCTAGGTTGCGACTTGCGCTCTCACCACAACTGAAAATAGTTAACAAATAACAATGTAGTGACGTCATGGCTTGTGCATGCATGCATGCTGCTATATATATGTATGTGTATGATATGCAACAAGCTCTTATGTAGAACTCTGCGTACGTACTTCGTCTTAATAAAGATGATCACCGCTAGTGATCGTGTATCTAATGGAAAGCACTTAAGCTGCTTTTTATGCCATTCACTTGCCTCTCTTTTCGTGACAATGCTCAAATCTTTCCCTTCATTTCCCAATATCTCGTTAATTTGCTGCTTTTCGTGAAGATTTTGGTTCATCTACGAAAATATGGTTCCATTGATTCCGTGGAATTAGCAGGGGGCTACTAAATTACGAACACACATGTTACTGTATATTAATTCTTGTTGATGCATGAGTTAGACTTTAGAAGTAGAGTTTTTTTTTTT